GGTGGTGTTCAGTTTCCATGTGTTTACTCTTTTACCATTGACCTTCCTATTGTTGATTTCTAATTTTATAACATTGTGATCTGAGAAGATGGTTTGTAGTATTTGAATGTTTTACATTATTAAGGCTTGCTTTATGGCCTAACATATGGTCTGTCATGGAGAATGTTTCATGTGCACTGGAAAAGAATGTATATTGTGCTGCTGTTGGCTGAAGTGCTCTGTCGATGTCTATAATATCAAGTTCGTGGATTGTGTCGTTTAGCTCTTCTGCACCTTGTTGAGTTTCTTTCTAGTTGTTCTGTCTTTCAATGAAAGTGGTGTATTAAAGTCTCCCACTCTGACTGTAGAGTCATCTATTTGCCTTTCACCTCTTATAAAGTCTGATTTATGTATTTTGGAGCTCTTTCATTGGGCCCATAGATACTTATTATGGTTATATCTTCTTATTCAGTTGATCCTTTAGTCATTATATAATGTTCTTCCTTGTCTTGTATGGTGGTTTTTATCTTAAAGTCAATTTGATCAGAAATTAGTATTGCCATTCCTGCACTTTTTTAGTTACCATTTGCTTGATACATCTTTTCCAATCTTTGATTTTTAGTCTATTTTTGTCTTTATCTCTAAAGTGTGTCTCTTGTAAAGAGCATATTGATGGTCTCTGTTTTCTTATCTAGTCTGCAGTGCTCTGTCTCTTGAGTGGTGCATTTAATCCATTAACATTCAGTGTAATTATCAACAAGTATGATATGGTTGCTGTCATTTTGTTATGTGTTTTTCATGGTATTCCTGGTTTCTTTGTTCCATATTATTTTCTGTACTGAGCTCATTATGTTTATGAATCATGTTGTCATTTCCTTTGTTGCTGTTGTTTTACTGTTTGCTGAATATTTGTGCTTGTCCTCTTTTTATTGTGATGTGAAGGTTTATCATTTTTCTTTGAGGTTACCCTGTAATTTATAATTTTCCCCTTGAGTTTATCACAGTCCATTCTGTCTTGTAACTCTCTCGACTTCTCACCATTTACAAGTTCTATAACTACACTGTGTTTCCCCACTTTTTGGTTTGTAGTTGTCTTCATTTGCCAGTTGATGTCTCTGGTTCCCTGTTTATAATATTGTAAGCTTATTTTACTTTGGATATGTTCATAGCTATGTTGGTTTCTGGGTTATGTCATCTTGTGTATTAATTGTCAGTTGTTGTTTGCTATTATTGGTTTTCTGTTCAGAGGACTCTCATTAGTATCTCTTGTAAGGTTTATCTTGTTTTAACAAATTCCCTTAATTTCTGCTTATCTGGAAATCTCCTAATTTCACCAACCTATTTGAGTGACAGTTTTTTGCCGGGTATATAATTCTTGGTCAGAATTTTTTTTTTCCAGGGTTTTATATATACCATCTCATTGCCTTCTTGCTTTCATGGTTCCTGCTGAGAAATCAGATATAATTCTTATCGGTTGTCCTATGTAGATAACTTTTTGGTTTTTCCTGTGCTGCTTTCAGGATTCTTTGTCTTTGGTTTTGATGAGTTTGATGGTGATATGTCTCGGTGATTTTCTTTTGGGGTCTGTCCTGTTTGGGGTTCGTTGGACTTCCTGAATGGATATATTCTCATCTTTCATCATATCAGGGAAGTTCTCTTCCAACAAATCTTGGACAATTTTCTCAGTGATTTTATTTTTCTCTTCCTGTTCTGGAATTCCTATTACACATAATAGATTATTCCTTTTCATGGTATCCCACATGAACATTAATGCTTTCTTTATTTTGTTTTGATCTTTTTTTCTGATTGATCCCTTTCCAAAGAAGTATTCAGGTATTTGTCTTCAATCTCATTAATTCTGTCTTCCATTGATATGGTTCTACTCTTTTGCCCTTTCAGTGTGTTATCTATTTCTGAAAATTTGGAATTAATCTTCTGTATTTCTATCTGTAGATTTTGTATCATTTCTAATTTTTCATTTATTTTGTCATTTTGTACTTGTATTTTCTTCCAAAATTGTTTTGTCTGTGTTTTCCTTAACTTTGTCAGTGTTTTCCTTGATTTGTCTCTCAGTCCTTTGAAGATAACCTAAATATAGTTCTTTTGAATTCTTTATCAGGGACTACCAGTGCTGCTGCTTTCTCAGGGATGTGTTCTGGGTCTGTATCCTACTCCCTTGTTTCTACCACTTTATCTTGCTTCTTTGTGTGGACTATGATGGTCTGTTGTCTTTGAGACATTGTGATGTTATATTTAGATGTCTGTTAACTGTGAAGAGCAGTTAAGGGTGAGTCAGGCTCTTCTTGGTGGTTGTTTATTGTTGGTCTGTTGGTGGAGAAGGAAGTGGTGGCTCTCACTCAGTATGTGAAGCTGCAGGAGGTGCTGGTGTAGTTGAGTCATATGGGCACCCTTGCTGTCTCCCACTAAAGTTAGACAAAAACAACAATTGAATAACCATCAAAAAATGAAAGCAAGTGGACAAAAAACACTGTAAACACACAAGAACAATAACCAAAAAAAAAAAGAAAAAAGAAAAACAACTTGCAATGTTTGGGGAGAGGGAAATAAGAGAAAAAAGACAAAGTAGGAGAAAAATGAAGAAAAAAATGTGAAAAATACAAAAAGAAAAACAAGGAATGAGCTTAACCATGAGAAAGAAAGAAAAATGGGAACCAGGAACAAGGAAGAGAGAAAAAGCTGAAAACTAGAACCTGTCAGTTGTTGGCTCCAGAATGCCCTTGTGGTTCCCAGCAAGCGGAGCCTATTTTTAAGCCCCTGGAATCTGGGAGAACATTGTCGCTTTAAGTATCCAAAATGGTCAAACCAAGCGCTTGTAAACATTAAAAATGGCTGCTTCCTCCGGACAGGCAGAGGCTACAGCTCAGCCTGCCTTCCTCTTTGCTGCTTCCTCTGTCATTCCCCAGCCACCAGAGCAATCCTCGTGCAGTCCCTGGCTGGCAGGGCCAATTTTTATGTTAATTCTTAGGTCCTAACACCACTCAGCAATATCCAAGCTGTCTGTGCCGTCAAGATTGCTGCCAGACCGCAAATCCTTATGTCTCGTTTTTTGGTGTTTTCATGCAAATTCTTCTACTAGTTGGGAGTTAGTCCACTTCTGTATCCTTCACTTCAAAGCTCAGGGCTCCAGGATTATCTTCTCTATCTGTATTAGTTGGTTCCCCTTTTCTTTGTTGAAGAGGGTCAGTGCAGTCAGTCTCCCTATTCTGCCATCTTACCATCGTCTCAGTTTAACTTTTGACTCTGGTTTAGCAACAGCTGTAAAAGTTAATTTGGCTTTTGTTAAATGCTTTTCTTCATTTTTGCTGGCTTTTTTTTTTTCTCTTTACTTTTCTTCTTTTAAAGTCCACTCAAAATCTAAAACATAATAAAAACTATACTATTTTTAACCCAAAACAATAAATTCAAGCCTAAACAAGTTAAATCTCGTTAGTACTACTTTGTAAAAAGGTTGTACACATACTTTTAAACATTATTAAGGCAAAGCTTAATAATGGGTTTGTTTATCTCTTTTTATGGATTGAAGATGAAAGGAAATGTGTTATTTTACTGTTCTTTTCTACTAGTTTTATTGTCATTTTTGTACTTTGAACAAGTTCAAATTTATTGAAAAAAAAATGGAAAATGAGATAATAAATAGGACAGTTTTGCTCACCCCTTGGTACCATCTTGATGAAGTAGATCAGGGCCCAGAAAATCAATTGACATTCTTAATTGTTTTACTCAGCATTCATTTCTTGAGATGGTTGTTACTGTGTTAAGAGTCAAAACAAAACACACCTTTTCCCATCGAGTCAGTTCATACTCAGCAACTCTCTAGGCAGAATAAAACTGCCCCATGTTTCCAGGGCTCTGAATCTTCATAGAAGCAGAGTGCCTCATCTTCTTCCCATGAACCTTTTGGTTCAGAGCCAGCTTATCTTAAAATTGAAAGTCATTAACTGAGTTTCTGGTTTAGCCATGACATTGGCTCTCCACTTCTTGTGTGAATGGCATTTATGATGTTTTGTTGGTATGTTTAGAGAATTTAGAAGAGGTCATCTAGTCTAACTGCCTTTTTAGATGAGGAAATAGGCACCATGTTGGTATAATTAGGACCAAGAAACGATTTTCTGACATTATTTATGTGCCTCTCTGAGGAGGCTTGGTATCTAAAAGAAGTAGAATGTTGTAATCTTTATTAATTTACAAGTTTATTTCAGAGGAAAAAATTAGGAACCTGTTTTTGAAGCACTTACCACAGAGAATTAAATTGACCAACTTTAAAACACACATTGATTTTGATAGGTTCTACTGTTACGATCTTGGTAGGTAGTTTGTAAAAGTTTGAATAATTAGCTCTCAGAGATAAATTACCAAAAATAGATCTTGATTTTATATCTTCTCCCCTCAATGCCTTGAGAATATGCAAGATCTGTAGAAAACCACTAGGAGCTTTGGTGGTACAGTGGTTAAGGCATTAGGCTGCTAACTGAAAGATCGGTGGTTCAAACTCACCAACCACTCTCTGGGAGAAAGATGAGGCAGTGTACTTCCATAAAAATTGATTGCCTTGGAGACCCTATGGGGCAGTTCTACTCTGTCCAGTAGGGTCGCTATGAGTTGGAATCAAGTGGAGTGTTAGGCTAGGGGAATTAATATAGAATTAGATAAAGTTAATTATGTAATTCTGTGACCTAATACTTGCTATAACATGCCTTTTAGAAATGTTAAAGTACGTTTTGTAGTAGGAAATAGTTTATAGGTAGACAAGTTCATTATGATACTTCATTTTGTTCCTTTAGTCTCATTTGATTTGATTTGATGGATTTTTGCCATTTTAGTTTTTATTGTCTTAAGAAAAAGTGGTATGTTTTTGATTGTGGGAAATAATAATTTCATATTTCTGTTTTTCCTCTGGAGATACTAGTTAAGTTTGGTTTTGTTGGGCATTCTTAAATTGGCCAATTATTTCATTAAATAAAGCTTATTGAATCATGATATTCTCTCTTTTTCCTTTATAGCCAACACATATCTCTTTATGGTACAAGCTCGAGGTATAATGCTGAGAGAAAATGTGAAAACAATCGGACATATGATCAGGCTGTACACAAATAAAAACACTACGCTCAATGGTACAGGTAAGGCTGCTTCCTGCTTCGACATGCTGGCTGTGCTTCTGCTCCACACTCTCTGGTCATGAAGCAGTAAAACATTTCTTAAGCTCAGTTTTGCCCTCAAGTAACTCCCTTTTAAAACTGAAGGTATCTCCAGTTTACTGGTAGATTATTTTACTGCTTGAACCAGGACCTTGCCACATAAAGGTGTAGTCAGGAAAGTGATGGGATTTGGTGCAGTGTCCTTTTTTTTTCAATAATTTATTTTATTTTTGTAATTTTGGGAGTATACACAGCAGGACATACACCAATTCAACAGTCCTACCTGTACATGTCAGTGACACTGATTATATACTTTGAGTTACAGAACCATTCCCATTCTCCTTTTCTGAGTTATTCCTCCCCGGTTAACTTAAACTTACTGGCTCCTAAGTTTCCTATTTAATCTTCTGAGTTACTGTTGTCAGCCTGATACCATATAGATAGACACTAAAAGAACACACCGCTGAAGGCAGACATTTTTTACTGGTTAGCTAAATGATTGTTTGGGATGCTTTTGGCTTAAGATTTAAAGGTTTTCTCATGGCAGTAGTTTTAGGGTTCATCTAGTCTCCCGGGCTCCAGAAAATCTTGATTCCATGAGAGTTTGAAATTCTGTTCTGCATTTTCCTCCTTTGCATTAGGATTCTTCTATAGAATCTTTTCAGTAGTGGTAGCTTGACATCAGCCAGTTCTGGTCTCATGGCAGAGGCGTTTGTTCACTGGAGGCAATTAGCCACACATTCCATTTCCTCCTCCTGTTCCTGACTCTCGTTCTTCCTCCGTTGGTCCAGGTGGACCATCTGTTGTACATTGTTGTACATTGAATGGCCACTTGCACCCTTTTAAGACCCCGGGCTTTACGTAACACTAGGATGTAAAATAGAAGCGCTAAACATGTTATTAACTGGGACGTCCCATGAAAGCATAACCCTAAACCTCTAAACCAAGACACCAAATCCCATATGTATTTGGTTATATACATAAGCAGCCTTAGCAGCTACTCTTTGTTGTTGTAAATATATCTATTGCACTACTTTCGTCTGTTCATCTTTTTGCAGGTGTACAGCTTATTGACAGCAGTTATATTAATTGGCTGTACAACTCTATCCATACTCAATGTGATTTTCTGTCACCGTAAACCAAAAGTCAGAAATCTCAAAGCAATGATCCCTTCTTACCCTCTTCCCTCCCGCTTCTGGTAGCCACTGAGAGACTTTGGTCTCTATACATTTTGATGTTATTGTCTTTCTATGTAAGGGATATCATATAATATTTTTATTTTTGTGATTGACTTATTTTACTCAGCATATCTTCAAGCTTCATCCATATTGTAGCATATATCAAGACTTCATTTCTCTGAAAACGTTTCATGCAGGTCCTTTAGTCAGGAGACAGTCAGTCATTGTAGCCATTTGGAAATGGGTTGGCTGTAACAGAGATGTGACTGCAGTGACTTAAACACATGAAACTTTATGTTCTTATGTAAAAGAAATCTGGAAATCAAATGCCTGCAGCTATTGGGGAGGCTCCTTAAAGTTTTCAGTCACCTTCCATCTTCAGTCTCAGCCACCTCATAGTCTAATATGGTTGCTGGGGCTCCAGTCTGTATGTCTGTAGTCGGGTCAGTAGGAAGGAGGAGAGGAATGAGGAAGAAGGAGAAATAGGGTGCCTGGTTTTAAGAGCCCTTACCAGCAGTCCCACACAATATATGCTTACATTTCATTGACCAAAACTTGGCACATAGAAGGGTACTGGGAAATGTGTTTGAGCTGGGCACACAGGTACCCTGAATGAAATTGAGGTCTTCTCCCTGAAAAGAAAAGGAGCTCTGTTGGCACATTGGTTAAGGCATCCTGCTGCTAACCAAAAGGTCAGTGGTTCAAACCTACCAGCTACTTTGCAGGACAAAGTTGAGGCAATCTGTTTTTGTAAAGATGTACAGCCTTGGAAACCCTGTGGGCAGTTCTGCTCTGTCCTGTAGAGTCACTATGAGTTGGAATTGACAGGATGGCAGTGGGTTTGTTTTTTTAAATTTTTTTTTGGTTACCTAAAAAGAAAGGGAAAACGGAGTGTGAGTAGGCATTTGTGAGGCTCTGCCATGCTTATTTAGCTGACATTTATCTAGCAATTAGCACAGTTAGTATAATTAGTTAGATATTGAAGATAACAACCTTAAAAACAAAATTCTTTCTTTCATGAGAGGCTCACAGGCTTCTGGGAGAGAGAAAAACATAAATAGGTATTTATAATGCAATTGGTTATTTCTGTAAAGACTTAACATAATATCTGACAAAAAGGAGATAATGGCTGATAAGATGTACAGAGAACTAATTGAGCTCTAGGGAAGAGCTGATTAGCATGTAGTGGTTCATTTAAAATTTAGCACTTCATGTTAAATAGGTTGTGATATTTATAAGTTCATTTGAGTTCAGAAGGGTTTTTTTAACCCTGTACCTGACTGCAACATCAGATACAAATAAATAAGTAATATTTTTGCAAAGAAATTATATATTTTCATAATGAAATGATATTTTTCCTTGTAGCCTGTGGAGGTAGTCAAATTAAGAAAACAAGATGTATTCTGTTAGCAGTAAAGTGCCTTACCAGAACTCCTAGTAATTTTCAAAGCAGACAATAAAGGCCATGAAATGTTGGAACTGGTGGGTTTGTTGGGAATCACCCAGCACACCCTCCTAATTTGATGTATGAGTAAACTGAGGCAGACCGCCAGACTGACACTACAGGCTAGTAGTTAAACAGTCTAGAACTCTAATTGAGCTTCTGTTACCCATTTTACACTGCCTTTTTACAGGAAAAACGCCATTGACTGATCTCTTTTCCCTTTAATTGACTATGTCCAATGAGACACAGAGTAGGGGACCTGTCCCTCAGCTTTCATTCTTTGTCTGCCTTTGTGTGTGGCTCTGAAAGAGAGGGAGGAGGAGGACTAGAGGCTCAGACTTGTTTTGCTTTCATCCGTTCATTAGGTGCAATACTGTCTGTATTTTACAGCAGTTGTGGTGCATCAGCCTCATGTATCTATCCTGCTAACCTTTTAAAACTGTTCCTGGCTTTGAAGGCAGTGGTTATTGCTCACTTAACCACTTTTGTTGGTGTCAAAGGAATAATGATTTTGTGGGCTTGTTACAGTATAGTCTCCAAAAGCTTAAATCATTAATGGCTATTTTACCAGTTGTGAAGCATTTATTTGCAGAAAGTACCTATTATGTGCTAGGTACTTTATTACCCACTGCCGCTGAGTCAGTTCCAACTCACAGCGACCCCCATAGGGTTTCCAAGCTGTTAAAGCAGACTGCCTCATCTTTCTGCCCCATAGGGTTTCCAAGCTGTTAAAGCAGACTGCCTCATCTTTCTGCCGTGGAATGGCCAGTAGGTTTGAACTGCTGACTTTGTGATTAGCAGCCCAGTGCTTTAACCACAGCACCACCAGAGTTCCTAAGGTACTTCATTAGATGTTGCAAATTTCAACTAAAAGAGGTATTCAGCTAGTAGCAGGGAAGACAGACACAGACTTATATATGAATAACACATTGGGATGAAATAAATACTTCTGGACACAGTACTGTAGGAGGCCTGGGGCGTTTCTGTAAGCCTGGGTAAATGAGTTGAGTGCCTTAGGATCATTTGTAATGCTGTGGCCAAGAATAAAACATGTTTAGCCCCAAAACTTTGTCTTCAAAGGAAGTGAATTTACTAATACATATGTCTTTAAATTTTTTACTTTTTCAATTTGGTTCCTTAAAAACTGATAAAAGTGATGAATGTGTTCTTTTATGAACGACTCATTCGGTGTATAAAGCAAAAATCCCTTCTTGCCTGCTATTGCCATCAGTCTCCAGGGGAGCTCCCGTTAACAGTGTGCTTTGCAGAAATGTCTAGGGAGCTTAAAGATTCTGTTAGCTTGATATGTGTTATATGGAATCATAGTGTGTGGCTGAGAAGAGGGGCCGAGACATTAATGAGTAGCATTTCTCAATTACGCAGAGTAAGAAAATACTCTTAAATTTGACTACATCACATTAAGAAATGACTTGAGGGTTTGCCTCAGGATTATAAGAAAATGAGTCTCTGGAACACAAGGACAGTGGACCCCTGCAGGGATAACCTTGTTTATCTTCTGTTTTCAGCTTCTACCAATGTGTAATGTATAGTAGGTGATTAGTAAAAATTGATTGACAGGGGCTGGAGAAGAATAATTATGGGGAGTTACTGTTTACCAGATATAACATTCCCATTTTGGATGATAAAAAAGATAGGGAAATAAATAGTAGTCATGGATAAACAATTTTGTAAATGTACTTGACTCCATTGAATTATACTTTAAAAAACTGTTAAAATGATAAATTTTATGTATATTTTACTACAGTAAAAATTATTAAAAAAATTATCTAGGTAGCCCATCTATTTGGTGAAAAGTGCAAAACAAAGCTGTAAGATGAACTGTGTGTGTGTGTATGTGTGGGAGTGTAACTTGTGAAGATAAAGAGAACTTGCTGTTCAGTGTCTTTTGTTACAACCATTCATTTATTCATATAAAAAGCTTACAAACCATATAAATTACTTTCTTGTTTGTATTTTATTAAAGTAGTATTTTTATAATTTAAAAATATAAAAAACAGAGATACAAATTCACCCTTAACCCTGACCACCTTATTATAATCGAGAACAAACATATAAAAAAGTTACAATAAAAAAAAACAGCATCAGTCTCCTATGTCATTCCTCTTCATCTGTGAGTTCCAATCCTAACAAACAACTACTGTCATCTGACTGCTAACCAGAAGGCTGGAGGTTCAAACCTTCCAGCCACTCCTTGGAAGGAAGGTTGAGTAATCTACTTCCGTAGCGATACCGCTTCCGAAACCCAAGGAGGGGTTGCTAGGAGTCGGATTCGACTCGATGACAATGAGTTAGGTTTTTTGGTTTTTTTAATTCTGCATGTATCTTCATGCTTTACAGAT